AAATCTCCCGGGCTTTCCCACCTCCTCTCCAGCCCTCCCGCGCTCACCCCGCATCTCCCTAGAACTCTCCACTTTCTAGCTCTGTCCGTTCATTCCTAGCTTTTCCCGTCTATCCCTTGCTTTTCCCACCCCTCCCTCACCCTCCCAGGCCCTCCCGCGTTCTTCCCGTCCCTACCCAACTCTCTCCGCCTCTCAGCTCTTCCCATCCATCCCTAGGTCTCCCCACTCTCCCTAGCCCTCTCCCTGGCCCTCGCTAGCTCGCCAAGCTCTTCCCTAGCTCTCCCCACGACTCCCTAGCTTACACCACTCCTCAGTTCTCGTCACCTCTCCCTATCTCTCCCCACCCCCTAGCTCTCCGCGCACCGCCTTCACTCTTTCCGTCTCCTAGCTCGTACCTAGCTCTCCCCCTATACCTCTAGCATCCCCCACCACTCCCTCACTCTTTATGGCCTTCCCGTGCTCTTCCCACCCATCTCTAGCTCTCCCCGGCCCTCCTGGGCTCTCCTCGCACCTCCCTAGCTTCCTCGGCCTCCTAGCTCTTCCTGCCGATCCCCCCCTTTTTCTAGCTTTCTTCACCACTTCCTAGCTGTCCCTGGTCCCTCCCTAGTCCCTTCGCCCATCCGTAGCTCTCCCCGCTCCCCCTAGCTGTCCTCACCCCTCCCTAAATCTCCCCACTTCCAACCTGTACCCGCCTCTCTCTTCTCCTATCCTTCCTGCTCGTCCCTTGATCGCCCGCCCCTCCCTAGCTCTTGTCGCCCTCGCGTGCGTTCCCCGCACCTCACGCGCCGCAATCCGCGCTCTCTGCTTTTTCCGTCTCTCCCGCTCACTCGCACCCGTTCCTCTCTGTTCCTCCCCACGCTTTCTCCCTCTATCTCTCAAAACCCTCCCCGCTCTTCTTCCGGTTTCCTTTTCTCGCGTCATTCTTCCCGCGCCGTCAGCTCTCTCCTTTCCCCTCCCGCGCTCTCTCTCTCTCTCTTCCCTTCTCTTCTGAGCTCCGGCTTGATATTATAGTAGAATAACCGAAAAACTAATAATATGAGTACACTGCCCTGCTCAGGTTGAGAAGACCAGCGTAGGAATGGCTACGTGCTAACAGCACGTACCCCTTAACCCATGGTCGCAAGGCCGGGACGCTGCTGATAGGTCTTAGCTTGTAAAGAGCTGTTGGGCCAAAGTGCATACATACATTGCCTTGCTGGCCAATCTATTATACTTGTAGCGGACAAAATATTTTAGCATATTTTGAAGTATTTGAAAGAGTATTAATATAATTACTAATGTATTAACGACGAAAGTTGAGAAGAATTTACACACTTCCTTAAATGAAACAAATGTCGACAGTTTGTTTTAGAATACTCCTACCCCTGCATGGCTACTTAAGGGATAAATTAGTGTCTTTGGAGTGTGTTGACGTGATGAATGCTATAGAAATGCAATCTGATATCCAATTATTCCTAATAAACACTTCTGGATTGTCAAACAAAATCTTGTCTTGCTATCACGAGCACTTTAGACTGAGCATAGTCAGCAACTTCTCCGTAACAAAAGACGCGGTGAGTCTGGTGTCAAGAGATGGATTTCCTCCGATCAATACTTTAAGTAACAGGGATGGATTGGGCCTCTAATGAGAAAATAAGACAAGTTTTGAACATTATGAGCCACAACACGCTTATCTCTTTGACAGTCTCAAACCAATGCCATTTCGGCCCTTAAAATACCAATGGGACAATACCAAATAACTTGGAGAGTACCAAATTACTATTCTTATAAATTATACCTTATAACTCATTGTAACAATATAAACTGTACATATTATTATAATCACAGTAGAAATTATGGTTATAATTTTGGGTGGAATTATGTCTGTTGATGGCGTTAGCTTTTTTAAATTAGTTAAATATTCAGTACATTGCTCCAATTACACAACTGTGTTCTATATAGGCAGATACAAAAATAAGATTTTAATATGATTTTGGGGTGACGTGATTGCACGGAATCGAGTTTCTACTAAGTGATTACATATGGAGACGCTTTGAATTTTTGTAAACATCTGATAAGCGTTGAATTAAAAATTCATCAGATTGTATGGTTAATCAATCGCCAGTCAAATTTGTTCCTTAAAGAAAAATAAAGTTCAGACCAATTTGGAGCTAGGAAATTCAACTATGAGTAACTCAACTGCAAGTAAATCAAATATAGAGACTCCTTGAAACTCGAATCAAATCCTTTGCCTTTCTCGTCCCCGCTTCCCTCTCTGTTGCCCACCCCTTCCCCACCACCCTTCTCCTTCGCCTTTCCCTTCCCCACCACCCTTCTCCTTCGCCTTTCCCTTCCCCACCACCCTTCTCCTTCTCCTTTCCCTTCCCCACCACCCCTCTCCTTCTCCTTTCTCTTCCCCACCACCCCTCTCCTTCTCCTTTCTCTTCCCCACCACCCTTCTCCTTCGCCTTTCCCTTCCACACCACCCGTCTCCTTCTCCTTTCTCTTCCCCACCACCCCTCTCCTTCGCTCTTCCCTTGCCCACCATTCCCTCCGTTGCTCCTGCCTTCCGCAATGCAGTCTGCCTTGGCCTCCCTCCACAGCGTGTGGCACGATCCGCTGATGGCTTTCTAATGCCCCTCCTCGGGGGGGGGGGGCGACCGCGACAATGGGGGCG